CAGCTTAGCTGGGACGGCACAGAAAGACATTAATTTCAAAAAGACTCAATCTATCTAAATAACATAGCCCAGAAAACTTGCAAAGATTCGCAATAGGAAGATGGTAAGGTGTGGAGAGGAATGGCCAAAGAAATGTAGCTCATCGTAACATCTGAGAATGCAACTGTTTTTCATTTTGAGGGATTTTCAATTTTGTTTCTATGACTCTTACATAAATTCCAGGAATACTACATAATATAAAAGTTAATTAATACTTACAAAAATATATTTCCTAGAAAAAAAGTTGCTCTCATTTTTTTTAACTTATTCTTTTACTAAATAAGACAGACTTCTGGGGGGTGGGGTGGAGGGAGGAGTTCCCTCCATGTGGGATACTAACAAGTAAATCTAAGTACTTGATTATTAAGCAACTTATTTTTTATATGATTTGGGTGGAAATATTTCTCAGATATACTATATTTTCTTTAATATTCACAGAGGCAGCATGTTGAACTCAACTTAACCTTGTCTTGACAATTCAGAGTGATCAGAATAAATTTCAGAACCTATCCAGAGTCATGTTGACCCTTCATTAATATCCCTAGACCACTGGGCAATTATGTTCAATTGGTAGATTTTTACCATTCATCTGTGTCTTTTCAAGCTCTCAAATAGCTTATTGCTTGTAATAATGTCCTTATATTGCTTCTAGATAACCCTTCTATTTGATCATTTCTAATTTCACAGAAAAATCAAGTTGGTCATTTTATGTACAAAGCAATAGAAGATAGGCTCTACTGAGCCCCTAGGATAAATGTTACAATTAATAAAATGAGATTTCATAGACTTTATGATTTCTATCCATAATGATCACCCTATACCATGGTGAACTGCTTCTCAATATTAAAAGGTAATAGAAAAGAAAACATTCTTTCCTTTTCTGATGACCTAAGATAGGTGAGTTTGACCTATAGTAGCCCATTTGAGACAGAAGTCCATAGATCTGAACTTTGTGGGAAGGGAAAACTGTAAGCAAAATTCTATTGTCCTAATCATTTTTCTAAGAAAAAATATATTTCATTAAAATTTTAATAAATAAATTTATATGCATATATACACACACATACAAATTCAAAAAGCATTTCTCTAATTCAATGATCATCAACTATGTCTACGCATTAAAATAAGAGCTTCTAAGAAAATAGCCATGCACAATTCTCAGTGAAGACCAAATAAATAAGATTCTGAAGGAAGGTTCTAAATACCAATTTTTGTTTTGTTTTGTTTTGTTTTTAATTTCTCCAGATGAGTCTAATGTAAAGCTAAGGTTGAAAGTCAACCATTCGTCTGAATTATAGATTTCAATGATGGTGCCAGACCAGATTCTGCAATGATAGGAACCATTAATAAGTCACAAAATAAACAGTAGAAGAAGTAAAAACACATACTTATTTGGTTTATCTCTAAGTTTACTTAATACATGCCAAGCTTTCAACTGGAAACCTCAAAACATTGATAGATAGATAGATAGATAGATGTTGCCCAACATTATTTTCCATGCAAATCATGAAAACTTTAAGGAGAACTATAATAAAACTATGCATGTATCAATAATCTAAAAAATTCCCCCAAGTCAGTGGTTCCTAATCCAGGCAGTAAGTACATCACAATCAGAGACTGTGGAATAAGGGAGGTTCTAAAATAAAGAGTATTGGCTCAAAATAATTTGGGAGTCTTTTAATTTTTTGTTTTGTTTTGTTTGAACACAAACCAATTCAACCCTCATAATACACAGCAAATTAGAATATCCATATGTCAGAATTTCTTATGTTTCTCAATATATCTGTGAAACAAAAGATCTGTCAGGTAACTCAGATGATCAGTCAAGTGTCCTCAGTGACCCACAGAAACTAAAGGATTTCAGAACCTACTGTTCTGGGTAACTGGAAATACATCTATATAACAATTACATACCTTTTGGTTCACTTGGGATTTAGAATCTTCAGAAGAAATTGCATTCTTTGCACGTTGAAAACTGATATCCTCAAAATCAGTACATTTTGGTAGAACTGCAAACCTCTCTTGAAGAGGTGCTATCTGGACTCTATTTTGAGGAACGGCAGAATCGCAGCAGAATTCTTTCAGTTTTTCCAGAGACTTTGAGAAAGTCCTGGTCCTCAGACATTTTTTTGGCTCTTGGAAAACAAATGAGAATATAACCACGGTATTTTGGTCTCATTATGTCAACTTATAATAAACACAGAATTTTCTAAAAAGGGAGATTCCCATTAATGGACTGAACTATAATGTAATAAAGGAATAAAGAACATCAAGTTCAGGGTAAAGGTGGCATATTCAAGCATACACCTGATTTCACTCACTGCTGAGACTCCATTGAATAACTACAGTAGCAAGCTGGGGCTAGAGTTCAGTGGTAGAGCTCTTGCTTCTCCTGCTCACATGCAAAGCCCTGGGTTCTATCTCAGCACAACAAAAGAAGAGAGAGACAAAGAAAGCAAAACTACACTGCAGTTTGATTCTGGTTTTTATCTGTTGGTTTGTTTTCACATTTAAGGACAGACAGGAGAAGAGAGGCAACAATTGCAAATGAAATCTCTGAAGCTAGAAGGGAAAATAGATGAGCTCTCATCAATCAGCCCACCCAACTCAAGCCAAGTCCTAAGTCAATAGTTAAGAAAACCAAGGACCAATCCTATTTGCAACACAAAATGATCAAGAGACTGGGGAATTACGGCACCAGTAACTGTGGAAATGGAATATGGGAAGATCTAAAATAAAGGCACTGACTTCAAGTAATTTGGTTTCTAGACCCCCACACACACTCCAAAGTTAAAAGCAACTATCTTTTCCTCACCTCAGCAGCAGACAGCAGATAGCTCTGGAAAGGCAAAACAGGCATAGCTGATAGAGCAGCAACTCAGAAGGGTGATGGGAATGTACACTGACTAAATGCTGACACCCCCAGCCTCTCCAGAACCTAGGAAGCTAGGAGGTTTCTAATTGAAGAATCTGACCAGATTAAGGGGAAAGTCTTAGATAATGACATCAAGGGTTCACCAAGGAAATCCAATCACCCCACTTAAACACCTGTTTTCCTGCTTCCAAGCTTTGTACATGCTATACTTTCTACGTATCAAAATTGTATTCATTCTTCAAGTTCCATCTCAAAGCTATCTTTTCCATGAAATTCTCTAATTCTCCCAGCTTTGAATCATTTTTCTTTTACATTCCTATAAGAAGCTCAAATTTTTATATAGTACACAGTCTGCCTAGCAGGAGTTGTTTATAAGCAAGCAATCCATAGAGAAGGGATCTATCATTTATTGGATCTTTACCATATACCACAATATATTATTTCACTATTTAAAGCAATAGTATTAGGTAGCTATTAGCAAATATAAGGGAAATGGGGTTGCAAGAATTTATCATCTTTTACCCTTCCTATGAAAGCAAAAACATTCTGAGGGCACAAATGATATTCTGTTCATTTCTGAAAGTATAAAACTTTCATATTTTAAGTGTGTACACAGATTTCCCTCCTGTAGTTTTAAAAAAAAAAAAAAAAACCTTTCCAGGAATGATGAAAGCAAAAACATTCTGAGGGCACAAATGATATTCTGTTCATTTCTGAAAGTATAAAACTTTCATATTTTAAGTGTGTACACAGATTTCCCT